CAAAAAATGCAATTAACGAAAAAAAATAATCCTATGTACAAAAATATCCAACTAGTGAACTGTATGTATTCAGGCTCATTTATAATTTTACATTCAAAGCACTAAAAATGAAATGTTATAAAGGTGTAAAATTATCAGTTGTGGAGAGTGACACATGTATCACATGACTGCCTGCAGTTAGTGCTTAGGAGTCAGGCAGGACCTGAGCGGAGCAGGGCCCTGAGCCCAGCCTTGGATCCTGGCCTTGGCTTCCCCATATCTGCGCTCATGTTTGACTTAGTCCCTCTCAAGCAAGAGGTCATGGACCCTGTCCTGGTGTCCTACCCATCGAATTACACGGACTCGATGAGGCCCAACAAATGTGGGGTTATTTGTTCCACACCGCTGCGAGACAAGTTCTTTCAAACTGCAGAAGACCTTTGACCCGGAATAGAGCTGGAGCCGGTGGATCTCATCCAGAACAAACAGGGCTCACTAAGTTCCCATCCTCGCTGAGTAACACTCCGCTGAGCATGCCTTCCTTGAGCGAGCCCACACATTAAGAAATGGTCGTCCCCTTCTCCGGTTTGCAGCCCCTGGCGATGGCAGCTGTCCTCTTCTGCTTGGAATCCGATGTGGACGTCCTGCTGATCATCCAGCCCCTAAGGGGCAGTGGTCCCTTTTATGTACACCAGGCACACCCCAGCGGCTTTTGTCTCCTTGCTGTTAAGACAGAAAATTCAAATGGTAGCACGCAAGTACTTATAACTGAATCATATGAGAATCCCATACTACAGAAAAATAAAATAAAATTGAATCTGGGATCGAACCTCAGAGGACAGAAACGCCACCCCTTTAATGAACTCAGTGTCCCAACAAACACGGTTGCAAGAGAATCATCCTTGAGTCTTAGCGCAGCCTGGGAAAACTCCGCTGTGTGGACTCCCGGACGCTCCAAGGAAGCGAAGGAAGCGCAGACGCAACCGTGACCATGAGTGTTCACGCAAAGCTCCCCCTTGAAAACACACAAGCGCGTGCACATGGAAGTTTGCTCGGTCTAATGGACTAATAAGACATTCTGAAACTATACCGGAATCAAACCGTTCCAGTGTCCAGACTGTGACGGCAGCTTCTCTTGATTCCACAGTGTGACTCTACTTTTCTCCTCTCTCTGTCTCTGTCTCTGGGCCCATTATCTAACTCATTTTTTACATTTAAAATTTTGGTTTATTTACTTTTTAAATTTTATGTGTATGAATGTAAATGCATCGTGTGTGTGTGTGTGTGTGTGTGTGTGTGTGTGTGTGTACACAGTGCCCCTCAGAGACCAGAAAGGGGTGTCCAGACCCCCTGAAACTGGAATTATTGATGGTTGTGAGCTACCACATGTATGCTGGGAATGGAACCTAGTCCTCTGCAAGGGCAGCAAGTTCTCTTAATTGTGGAATCATCTCTCCAGCTTCTTCATGTACACTATAATAGTCATTCAGCTGGTTTGAGTCTGGATTTACATCAGTCAAAACTTCCATGTGATCCTAGGCATTCTCCCTCTCTCTACCTCTGATCAGACCTTACGAATGTCAACCCCTGTCCCATGCTAAGTAAACCCTTCTTACAGATATGGTTAAAATAATGAGGAAATGTGTAAACTACAAAAAATTTATTGATTTTTCCATATAGTCCGCAAAGTAAATGAATTAGAAAAAAATATATATGGGAAAATAATGCAAGAATTAGGCTAAAATTGCAAAGCATGTTGTAACTGTTATAACTATGATTTTAAGTGGCAAGGCTGAATTTTATGCAGTAGTAAGAAATACAAATGTTAAATGCTGTGTGACCATCAAGAAAACTTGCTTCAACTAGCAGCACAACGAAATCCACAGACTAGACTGATAATTTTATCATAAATATTTTCCTTAAAGATAGAAAAGTACTAAAAGAACCTCATTATGGGAGTTGAACAATATTAAAACCTTTCAGGTGAAGATATAGAAACCGCCAACAGATATATGAAATAATGTTCATTATTTTTAGCCATCAGAAAAATACAAATCAGAACTACACTGAGATTCTCTCTCTCCTTACTCCAAGTGACTATCATCAACAAAACCAATTATAAAAATATTTGTTGGTGAGAATATGGAAAAAGCATCCTTTTTGCAAACCTGATGGAATGTAAAGTGCCTCGTTCACTATGGAAATTAGTATAGACCCCCCCCCCAATTTAAAATAGAACTACATTTGGTACAGCTGTACCAGTTTAGGGTGCGTACCAAAAGGAATAGAGGCCCACAGTGTAGACACCTGCTTACATGTGCCTGTGCTGGCTCTATTCACAGTACTCCAGTGTAGAGTCAGCCTAGGTGCCCATCAACAGATGAACTGATAACATAACATGGATATGTGCATAATGAAAGTTTGTCTATACAGGAAAATGAAATGTTTTTTGCAGGAAAATAGAAAAAAATAGATGGAACTTGAGATCAGTATGTTAAATGAAACAAGCCAAACTAAAAATGACATGTATTATCAGTTTTGTTTCAAATGTGGCATTTAAGGGTGTGTGTGTGTGTGTGTGTGTGTGTGTGTGTGTGTGTGTCTGTGTGCAGTAAAAGAGGACATAGATTAGATGGAGAAGGGCAGAGTGTAAGGAGGAGAAGTTAATACAGTGGTAGGTATTATCTAAGAATCAAAGTTACATCATGTGGAGTGGTGTTACGTCATGGGGGGTTGTAAGGGGGAGAAGGGGTGGAAATGATGTAAATATAACACTCATGGATGAAATTCTCAAAAACTGAAAAATTAAACTTAATTTTTTTTTTTTGAGACAGAGTCTCCCAGATGACCTGGAACTTGCTAAGTAGACCAGGCTGGCCTCAGTTTCACAGAGATCTGTCTGCCTCTGCCTCTGGAGTGCTGGGATTAAAGGTGTGTGCCACCAGGCCTCGCCCACAACTCAATATTTTACCAAATTAAAAACAAGAATTATATCAGAAGTTGGAAACACAACAAAACATACCATAGCTGACCATGAACAGGTGCTTGTGCTTGTGCTTTTACAAGGTGAAGGGTTTAAAGTGGGGATGATTCTGCCATCGTAAACTATTCATCACAAGAACAGTCCAGGCCAGGCCTT